ACGTGTGTTCATAACTCGAATAAAGAGTGACAGGAGAGGTAGTAAGAGAAGATGCTGAGGGAGTGGCAAGTGGATCAGTCCCAGTAAGACCCAAGCCTTCCGCACCAAGCAAAATACAGGATTAACTACCTGATAAAGAGCATTTTTAGACCCAGTGTTCTGAATTACAGTTCTCAAAGTATTCTGCATCTTTAGACATATTGGATCCTGGCAGTGATCTTACCTTCTAAGGTTACATGGCCTCTTGCAAGCTTTTGGGACCCCTTTACAATGTCAGGTTTGGGGGCTGGCCTCATAGCCCAGTGGGTTAGAGAGCCAGATCACACATGGTTGATTGCAAGGCTCAAGTCCTACTGCAGATGGACTTGAAAAACATACTAGGTGTATGTGCATGCATGGCCAAAATCTCAGCAGGAGGCAGAAATGGAGGAAAAGAGATTGCTGTGTTATCTCACCCCACCCTGGGCTGAGAGCTTTCATTTCCCACTCTCTGTCTTTCTGCAAGTATACATGCCCTCTAGAAGTTAAAAAAGAATCTCAGACTTGGAATGAAGAAGGAATTGGCATGCAAAACCTTCATTTGGGCTCCAGGTTGGCCATTCGTTGGTCCCAGGACAGTTTGCACATCCATCTCCTCCTCTTGGAGGGGGAGGATGGGCAGAGGCCAGGCTAAGGTGGTGTGAGAAGTAGAACTGGACGTTCTCCACTACCCACACTTGAATCAGTCCTGGAGCCTGAGTGAAAAACCAAAAGCCAGTTTCTAGTAGTGCAACTGACTCTGATTCAGCATGCTCAGCTCATCCCTTTTCTGTCTCTGAGCTCACTGGAGAGTGCTAATAGAGGCCATGGCACATAAAACACTATTAACAGGGGGTTGCTAAAATGTAAATCAAAGATGCGACACCTGCAGAAAAAGAAATGGTGACAATTATGCATTTACAAAGATCAGAGTATCTTTTTCAAAAGGTTTCAATAAATAAGAGAGTTTAATTTCCCAATTGTGAAGTATATTCTTAGTGCTTTTATTTGGGCTCCAGAGTAGGGATGAACACAGAGAAGAATCTGGAATAAATGAGGGACCTCAAAAAGTGTGTGAAAAAAATGGACTGAGTTTTATTTTGTGTGAAAATGTTTCATGCTGTGACATCCCATGGACATTTTTCTTCCCTTTTTTTTTCTCGTTTTTATTTTTTGTTAGAGGTCATATGCACTCACTGGCGTGAAGAGGCAGAAACATTTCTGCCTCACGTTTGAAGCACTCATTCAAGAATCTGTAAATGACAGAGAGGAGAAAGCATCCCCCCGCCCGTGGGGAATGGTGATGCCCAGTTCCTTCTCCGTCTCTCCCTCTCAGAATTTTGTGCACACATACACACATGCCCGGGGTGTTTCTCAAGCCACCAGGTTCAGGACTTAAACTGCACAATCAGCCATGTGGAATCTGACTGCCTTAACCATTAGGCCACGGAACCGACCCTCCAGGAACTTTCTGAATACCTCTTAGATTCAGTTTAATAGTATTGGGATAGTTTTATTTCTGAGGTGACTGAGACATCCCTGACTTTAATATGTTTCTTATCTTTTGTTTGTTTTATAAACAAATAATAATCAAGAGTAGAGAAAACAAAGAAAATCATATTGGATGTCTCCTCCCAAAACAACATTTATTTACTCATTTATCTATTTATTTTGGGGGAGGGGACTATTCTCTCCATTCTTTGTCCTAAATACTACAAAATCAATCACAGCGCTGGAAATCTGAAACACTCTGCCCTCTGCAAACAGTCACTGTGTATAGGGCATCAATTAAAATGTGACTCACCAAACTTATAGCTGATAATGGTTAGGTTAAGAAGAAAGTGAAGGGGCTAGTAAGTGGTGTGGTGGTTAAGGTACTGCACTCCCCACAGGGCCAATCACAGTTCAAGTCCTAGATCTGCTGGTTTGAAATCATACTGGATGCATGTGTGTGAGTGCCCAAACTCCCAGGAGGAGAATGGAGGAGAAAGGTGTGAGCAAGGCCCCCAAAGCATGGCCATGCTCCCTGGGGTATGTGGGGGAGTGTTTTCTCACTTTCCCTTTCAGTCTCTCTGTCTGTCTCCAGTGAACCACATGCCCTATAGAAGAACCTACAAAAAGAAAAAAAAAATAAGAGAAAACAAAGATGAATTCCCTTTTGTTTTTTACCCATGTGCATGGAATGTCGCTGGGCTTGGCCAAGCCGAGGAAGCGCAGTCTGGAGGCCCTCCCTATGGAGCCTAGCTCTCCGTGTCTAGGCAGACGTCAGTCCTCGTCAAAGTGTTCATGCCGTGGCCAGTACTGTGAGGGAGAAGGTGTAGGCTCTGAGGGGCCATTGAAGCAGAGACCTATCCCCACCTCCGGCTGGCACCTGAATTAGGACACCTTTGTCTCTTGTCTAGACTACTGCAATCTGCTGTGGCCTCCTGACTCCTCTCTTCACAGGCTTCCCCACCAAACACCACTTACTGCACTGCATTCAGTGACCTTTTTAGAAAACACACTCCCGGGCCAGCCCTGTGGTCTGATGATTGGGGGAATTTGATCCAGTAGGGCTCACCAAATGGTTCTAATACTGTTCCTCATAACTTGAAAATTCCACCATGCATAAGAGTACAGGTGTGCCCAAAATCCCTAAAAGAGAGAAAATGGAAGAGAAGGGAGTGTAGTGCGACCTTGGCCCATTATGGAGAGAAGGAGGGTACTTTGTCTCTTTCCC